TCCCTCGGGGAAAAGGGCGGCATACAAATGAAATAAATGAAAAAATGAATGAAAATGAAATGAAATAATAGTTTGCTTGTCTCCTTGGAAGCAGCAACCTACCCAGTGGGGGGATTTAAATAATTTAACAACGGTTCTCTGGGTGGGTAGGCATGGCCGGGTGGTCATGTGACTGGGTGGGTGTGGCCAACTCAACATCACTCATCACACTCAGCCCTACCTCCTGGCCACTCACCTCAAAGGCAGAGGTGGGATTCAGCAATTCGGACCGGTTTGGACTAATCCCACCACTGGCTGGCCCTACCCGTCTATTTTGGGGGCTGTTTTTTGGCTGTTTTCGGGCCATTTGGGGGCTGTTTTCAGCCTTTTTCACGCTGAAAGGGGGCCTGAAAATGGCCCAAAAGTGGATGAAAAGGGGCTGAGAAATGGGCCAAAAAATGGGTGGAGGCAGGGCCAGCCAGTGGTGGGATTAGCCAGTTCACCAAACTAGGCAGAATTTTAACAACTGGTTCACCTGAACCGGTCTGAACCAGCTGAATCCCACCTCTGAATCTACCCTCCAGTATGTGGCTGGTGACATGGAACAACCCACATTACTCTTCTAGGTTTAGGTTTACTCTTACTCTTCAAATATTCAGGCTGTTTGCTGGAGTCTCAGTACATTATGGGGATCAATGGTGAAGGGGGAAGGGACATTATTCTCTGCAAAGAGTTTCCCCATGGTGTCAGAGGTGCCTCCTTCAAAATCCAAGAAAGAAAACTCCCAACTCCATTGTGTTACAGAAAAGGTACTTTTAATGGATATGAATTGATAGCAACGAAAGTAAAGCAAGGTCTGAGGCTAAAGGCCTGAAATTGTACATATCAAAAGTTTACCAAAATCCCTCCCCCCCAGCAACCCCAAGCTGAATGCTCAATCTCCAATACCCAAGGATGCCATGTGGGGTTCATCTTCAAGTGGCCTCATCCATCTGGTATACAGAGAGAGTTGCCCTTGACCAGGCCTACACAAGACTGTTCAGCATATGCAGAAGATAGTGAGAGCAAAACTCCCTCTTCATTTCGAGACATCTCCACCAGAATGTTTCCCCTCTCAAATACCAAAACCCCCTCCCCTCCCAGTTACTATGGCAGCAGGTAGCAAGCATGTGATATAGAGGCTGACATATGGCTTGAATTGAACCTGGTTATTGGTTCCTGAATTGCCAACCAGTAACCAAAGCCAAAGTGAGGTTCTCATCTTTCTGCCTGAAGTCTTCTGCAATGGTAAAGCAGATGACTGGCCATACTGACTTTTCCCAAGGTATATTTGGGGTCCCTTAACAGACTTGAACACTGGACCCTATCTAACAAAATTAAATTCAATACAGATAAAAGTAATCCTGTACACTTAGGCAAGAAAAACCAATGGTATAGGTACAGATTAGATGANAAATGAAACAGCCCCTGATGAAAAAGGCCTTCACCATGGCAATTCCACTGTGCTGTACAGTTGAAGCTATTTGAAGGCACAACAGGCTGTATTGTAACAGAACATGAATCCAAAATGCACCCTACCACTGTCAAAAGTACTGTGATTTGATACTATAGATATAAGTTCTGCTGAAACACACACAGACACAGACACACACAAAATTCTAAAAGGAATATAATTGCAGGCCTGACACTCCCATTACTTGTCTCAGTTTCTGCCAGCGCTGGCTCTTTAGCTTTGAAACAGAGATGAGCACCGCCCCCTAGAAACAGAAATGACTAGCACATACGTGCAAGGGGAACCTTTACCTTTACCTTTAGTCATTTCTATAACAACAAATCTATCTAACTGGCAAAACCAAAGTGAAAGTTCTATTTTTTTTCATCACAAGCACAAAATCCAGAAGTGATCTCCAAATTTTTAAAAACACATAAATGTATTCTCCTCTTTAAATAGAACAATCGATTTAACCATTGCGGCTTTATCTTCCTTGCTGTTGAAAAAAATATGTATTTCTATTTGCACTTATAAACTATCACTATGTCTATTAATATAATTCACTGTATTCTTTCAGCTAACCTTAAAGGGGGAAAAAATCCATTCATTTTAAAACCCGAAGCTTTTCTTTAAAAAAACATTTCTAAAATTAAAACATTCTAAAGCATGTTTTCTAATGTCACTTGTTTTCTAACCACAGTGAGAAGAATGAAATGCAGAGTCACATGTTTTTCGACAAGTAAGCTCTCGTCCAAACAACAATTTTGTTTAATGCTTACTGATGTGCAAAATGCTTTATGCTATTTCGGTCTTTTGAACATGAAGGTTGATTAAATTCAAGGCAGTTTCAAGCAAATATTTTTTTGCAGGAATTTTGAGTGCCAAATGGGAAATAACCATGCTTCTCTGATTTTGTGTGTGTGTGTATGTGTGTGTGTGGTGTTGTGTGTGTTGTGTTGTGTGTGCGTGTTTGTGTGTGTGTGTGTTGGGTTATTGCCAGCATTACTGCCAGTTTGGCGTGCAAATTTTTTTGCACATGCACATTTGCACATAAATTGTGCGTGCGCACTTGCTCTGCATGTGTGCGTATTTGCACATAAACAAGTCTGTGCATGCGCAAAATGTTTAAAAAATGGGGAAAAAATAAATTTCTGCAATGAAAATTGTTCTGTTCATGTGCAGAGCCAAAAATCAAAATGCTGGTGCCGTAGGAGAACCAGTTTGGGGGCATTGCAGGCCTGGATCACTGCTGGTTCCAGCGACCTAGGCTGCCAAGTTACTACCGGTTCAGTTGAACTGGTCTGAACCAGTAGGAACCTACCTCTGGTGTGTGTGTGTGTGTGTGTGTGTGTGTGAGAGAGAGAGAGAGAGAGAGAGGGAGGGAGGGAGGGGGAGAGAGAGAGAGATGTGAAGGAAGGGAGGAAGCCTATTTCCTCCCTTCTATGTTAATAACTTATGGGGTGAGTTCAATTGAAATTC